GACTGTTTCCAAATGAACAAGAATAACCTGATTTGTCCAATACAGAAACAGAAACCAAATTCCGTCTAAAAGACGGTACTACAAAAGTATCTTTTAAATCCAAATAATAACCAGTTCCTAACAACAACCTAAAGTGCCCAATTGCTTCCACATCTACCGATTGTCCGTCGCCCACAAAGATGTGTCTTTCAACATCACTTGGCTTTCGGTAGCTCAGACAACCCTGCATAGAAACACTTATGTGAGTAGTAGCACCAGAGTCTAACCACCAAGTGTTTCTAGGTACTGAAGCTAAATTAACCTCAGAACAGACCAAAGCAAGGAACGTACCCTTATTATCACGCCAGGCGTGATATTTTGTACAGTCCTTCTTTACATGTCCAGGCTTCTTACAGAAGAAACAACCCTGATTATCCTTATGTTGTTTCTTCTCAACTGGACCCTTAGCAGCTTCCTTATCATTCTTCCTTTTCTTGCCCTTATCCTTAGAGGCATAGGCCAAATGAGCACTTTCTGTCTTATCTTGCTTCAACCTGTCTTCTTCTTGCACACAGTATGAAATGAGCTCATTTAGAGTCCATTTCTCCTTTTGACAGTTATAACTGACCTTAAATTGATTAAACTGTGCAGGAAGAGACAACAGAACCAGATGCACTAATAACTCATCACAAAGATCGAGTTTAAGTGCCTTAAGTTTTGAAGCAATATGAGACATTTCCATAATGTACTCCCTGATATTTCCTTTGCCCTTATACTTCATTGAAATCAAGCGAGCTAAAAGCGTGCTTGTTTCTACCTTATCGTTTTTCGCAAAACGCTTCTCAATTTCGGCAAGGAAATCTTTAGCCTTAGTAATCCCTTCGGATTCTATGCCCCTGAAGGCTTCCGGAACGCCGCGCTTAATGATCATAAGACTCATGCGATTTGAACGCTCCCACTTCTCATGCTCCTTCTTTGCATCAGGAGTGCTATCCGCATTGAGAGGTTGGGGTTGTTCAGTTCTTAATGCATAGTCAAGATCCATGCAGCCAAGAACAATTAATATGTTCTCTTTCCAAACCTTGAAGTTTGTCCCATTTAGCATGGGAATTGAGTTGATGTTAGCAGAAATTGTTGCAGCAGATGCATTAGCTGAAATAAAACAAAAATGCTCACATCAATAACCATAATCAATAAAATTCAAATAATGACAATCCCCATCCAAGATACCGGCACAACATTAATATCAAGTCTTTGGACAGTAATATTAACTTGTAAGTGATACCTTGTTGCAATGATCAAACATTGACAATAACTCATGTCAAATAATGAAACTATCTTTGGATCGATTCATTATTCACATGTAAACCTTATAATTGTCATACGCTTATCATTCGCAGATGTGTATACAGTCTAAATAAATATTAACATTCCTTTGGGCCGATTAAATATTTACACGAAAGCATACACACAAACATCTCACATTCCTCATGAACAATCTACACAAGAGAGGTTACTTTGGCAACTTCTTGTTTCAATTAATCAGTTGGAGTGAGAGACAACCTTAATACCTTAGTGTCATAATATTTGAATTAAATAATTGATTAAAAACCGAATTAGATTTAAATTAAAAATTTTAATTTAAATCAACTGAATTTCCAAAAACTTAATTGGGGTCTCACAGCTTAATTAGGGCCCATAACTTAATTGAATAAATTAAGTATACCAAAGTGGACCCATGAAAAGCCGAGGCTTAACCATAATGAACACGAAGTTCCCTTAACTTCGAACGCGAGGTTCGACTGTATTGAGTACGAGACTCACTTAAGCACGAACGCGAGGTTCGTCTGAAAATGAACGAACGCGAGGACGCGAGGTTCGTTTGAGAACGAACGCGAGGTTCGTTTGAACGCGATGTTCAACTTGAGAACGAACGCGAGGTTCGTTAAAAAAAAAGGATGAACGCGAGGTTCAACTGAAGTTCGAACGCGAGGTTCGACTGAAGAACGAACACGAGGTTCGTCAAAAAATGAACGCGAGGTTCAACTGAAGTTCGAACGCGAGGTTCGACTGAAGAACAAACGCGAGGTTCGACTGAAGCACGAACGCGAGGTTCGACTGTAGCACGAACGCGAGGTTCGTCTGAAGCACGAACGCGAGGTTCGACTGAAGCACGAACGCGAGGTTCGATTGAAGCACGAACGCGAGGTTCATCTGAAGAACGAACGCGAGGTTCACTTTAGAACGAACGCGAGGTTCGTTGAGCGCGAAGCTCGGTTAAAATTGAACGAACGCGAGGTTCGTTTGAGGTAACCACCTCTTTAATTTTCGCCATGAACCCTTAGGGTTTCAAACTGAAACCGCCGCCGCCAAACCCAAAAATTCTTCGATTTTTATTTTCAAAACCAGATCCAGAATCGGAAAAAAAATTTCTTGATCCAGATCCAAGAAAAATTGAAGAAAAAATCAAAGGAAAATCCAAAAAATTCCAAAAAGTTACTGTTCACCAGCGAATTTTTTAGTTACTGTTCATCCGAAAACTTTACTGTTCATCCGAACAAAAAACTTTGCTGTTCATCCGAACCCAAAAAAAATTGAATCTTTAACCAGAGATTTAAGATCAAAACCCAATAAAACTTAAATCCCTAAGAATTAATCAAGGTGGCTCTGATTCCACTTGTTAGATCTACATCATAAACTTGAGATCTAAAACCATATAGCCATGATTAATTCAAAGAGATTAACAAATAATCAAAAGAGCGGAAGCTTATACCTGAATCCATGGATGAAATCTTGATTTGGGTTTTTGATGATCTTCTAACCTTAGGGTTTTCTCCAAATCCGAATTTTTCTCTTAGATGGGGGTGAAGAGAATTAGAGAATGTAACCCTAGGTTAGGGACCATAACCCCTTATTTATAGATGTTGTACTTTTGTAATTTAGCCCCTCAATAAATCACAATTACAACCTGGTATCTGCACATATAACCCCATGACTTATTTAAATACCAAATTAACCCAACTTAATTGATCACTTTAGTGGGTTATCCTGAAAGATAGCAATACACATTGATTAATCATATGTGCCCACAAATAGATTTATTAGATTAAATCCAACAGTCATAATTAAAGAGCACAGTATAAAAGAGGAAAGCATCGAGGGGTACTGGGGTCAATGTGCATCAAATGAATTTCAGCCTTTCAATAATTAGATTTCGGAATTCATACACAAATTCAAGGATTGTCATCAATTTAGGTGCGTACTTAACACCCAGTAGGTATTTTCTTAATGAGTATTGATAACTACACTAAAAAACTTATACTATTTCTGTATTGTTACAAACAAAAAAAATAGGGTTCGTGATAATTGTACTACAAGTTTCACACATTTGTTAGTGGTAGTACAAGAGTAGCGTGAAACTTGTAGTACAACGATGATAACTATACACAACAAGTTGGACTAATTTTGTTCTAACAGAAACAAAAGGGCGGGCTCTATGTTGGCTCATTTTTTCTTGACGGTTTCTAAGGGGCTGTTTGTTTGCCTAAAAAAAGAGGGCAATCAAAGAAATGGAAAACTATTTCTAAGAAAAATTATTTTGGGAATGTTTGGTTGACTAAAAAAGAAGGAAATCAAAGAAATGGCGATGAGATGGTGTTAGTTGTCACCTTATTATAGGATGACGTGAGTGTTTTTTTAAGAAAAATTGTTTTGATGTTGTTTGGTTAGCCAAAAAATAAGGAAATGAATTATAAGAAACATATTTCTTGTAATAGATTATTTTCTTTTGTTTGGTTCATTCTTAAAAACAAGAAAATAGATGAGATGAGTTGAGTTGTCATTATATTATTGGATGATGTGACTCACACTTAAGGAAATCGTTTTCCTAGCTTTTTTGGGAGGAAATAGATGGAAATGAAATGTTAATAAGATGAGATGAGTTGTCACCATCTTATTGGATGATGTGAGTGATTTGAAATGATGACATGAGATGAGTTGAGTGATGTTGTGGATGAAAATAATATTTTATTAGATGTGGTGGATAAGTTGTTGGGTAAAAATAATATTTTATTAGATATGATGGATGAGTTGTTGGATGAAAATATTTTTTTATTAGATGTTATTGATGAGTTGTTGGATGAAAATAATATTTTATTGGATGTTGTGTGTGAGTTTTAGGGATGAAAATGGATGAAATTGTACTTTTTAAGATGAACAAATTTTTGATTTAAACCCATTCCCATTTTTTTTTACCGGAATCGACCGACCCTCTTTTTATTTAGCGGAATCGACCCACTTCTCGGCCACGTCAGCAGCGTGGCCGAGAAGCGGGTCGATTTTTTTTTAATCTCATCACTAAATAGTCGGGGTTGGCAACCCCGACTATTTTTTCAGTAGAAAAAATAGTCGGGGTTGGCAACCCCGACTATTTAGTGATGAGATTAAAAAAAAATCGACCCGCTTCTCGGCCACGCTGCTGACGTGGCCGAGAAGTGGGTCGATTCCACTAAATAAAAAAAAAGTTGGTCGGCTTGTAAAATAAAAAGTTGAAATGGGTTTATATCAAAAATTTGTTCTTTTAAGATTTTCACTTTTTTATTTTTATTTCTTGGTTTTTAGTAAATAACCAAACAGACCCTAAGAAAGGACCCTACATATTTATGAATGGAAGTACAAAAGTAGTATATAACTTGTAATATAAGTATCATTTCCTACGTGTAGGGTACTTTCTTGAAAATCGTCAAGAAAAAGTGTGAGTCGTAATAAAGCCTACTTTTTTGTTTGTGAGAGTATAAAAATAATATAAATTTTATAGTATAGTTATTACTATGGTATAGCTATCACTACTCTTCTCAATAAAAGATCCTGACAATTAATAAAAAAACCTTAATTGAAGATATTAAATATATGACAAACCAATGTTTCTCCCTCTTATCTCAAGATGCAATTTTTTATCGAGCTTGTTATGAGCACTGCAAGCTAATTTGTAAAGTAAATTGCAGATTTCACCAGATACCATAGTTGAAATGAACAGAACAACCCTTTCTCTTCTTAAATTCAACCTTACAACCGAATGAAGGAAATACCTAAACAGAAATTATTCGGAGTATCAAAGAATAACATGCGAACAGAGAAGACAATAGATCTTAAAAGAGCTCGTAGGTAGCATTATTACCTACAAAACTATTTCTTTTTTCTTTCATAACCATAACCTACAGATTTAATCATCAAAAGCGTAACGTTTGGACAACCCCTCCCTTATCAACCTGCCAATATCCGGCATAGAGGCAGACCTCTTATTGAAATCAGAACAGCGTGGCACGACACTGAAACCTTCGAAGAGGCATTGCATGGAATCAAGGCCTTTGAAATCGCGTTCCAAGGCATCGATCCTATCAGAGTCATGCTGCATTTTGTCAATGCCTTCTTTATTGCTGCCATCAGCGGAAATTTTAAAGGCAACTTCCGGAGGTAGTAGGTGTTTGTTCTTCGCAAACGAGGGATGGTACTCTGTTCTCGGTGATTGTTGAAAGATAGAAGGAGGTAGGTTCATGACATTGTGAGAAGAGGGAAGATAATCCATGCTTGATGACTGTTTGAAGAGGTACTCAGTTATTGATGACTGTTCCAGGAGTGAAGAAGGTAGGTTCATTATGTTTTTAGCGGATAAAGGATGGTACTCTGTTCTTGGTGATTGTATGAAGAGGGAAGGAGGTAGGTTCATGATGTTTTTGGCTGAGGAGGGATGGTACTCGGTTACTGACGATAGTTTGGAGTGTGTGGAGGATATTGATGACTGGGGTTGACGTGAGATAGTATAAGTTTCAGCCTTCACCCTTGAGGAAGTACTTGCAGTGCTGCTGCCAACTTCTTGAATACGTGATGGCAGCTCTCCAGTTTCCGCGAGCTAAAATTACAGAACAAAAGGTGAAGACTATTATCAATAATGATTTGACCAAAAAATTTGGAGAAACTCTAATTTCTATTCTACTGAAGTTATGTTATGGGTATTTGAACTTTAATTCCCCAGAGTGTCACCCTTTTTCTAACTCTGATATCCTAATATTCTATTTTGACAATTTGATACCCAAAGTTTTCAAATTGAGATTAATTGTGTAATTTGATATCCGAAAGCACTAATTTTGTTCCTAACTGTCCCAAACTAAAAAAATTGATATTTGGTAAGAAATTTGTTTCTCATTTATTTTTCTATACTGATCTTCTCAAGCAAATTAGCATCAACGTTTTCACACTTTAGGGTATCACATTGACAAAATAGAATTTTAGGGAATCATAATTCAGAAATGGTGAAACTTTGGGGTACTAAAGTGCAAACAACCCACATTTTATCGAATTTTCGTCCTATGCTCTTATTCACTGAATTGGCAATTGTAATATATTTTGCATACCAAAACAAAGAACACAAAAGAAGATCAACATTCAGTCAAACCATAATAGGCATGTTTTTCCAACATAGTCTCAATAATGATTGGGCCAAAAATAATTGGGGATGTGTTCTATTGAATTCGTCTATTGAACTTTTGTTATGTGAGGACTGAGGAGCTTATAAATGCTCTTACTCCATTACCACTAAAAGAGACACAATAATCTGTTTTTGTGATGCGAACTCCTCAATACAAACCTTCCAAAGCTTTTATTGGCAAGAGTAGTCTATTAACTCTTGTTCAAGTTTTATAGTTCATTATATATTTGGAATCTAGTACATATCATAGTAGCAGCCAAGGAGAACTTCCATGCTACTCCAACCTGACAAGGGTTAACCACAGAGTTTTTTCACAGTTCCTTCCTTGAATGCTATCTATGATTAGTATCATGTTTCATGAAACCCTAGGTAGATCCTGAACTCAAATTAGTCAATTACATAGATGCCTTATTTAGTTACAGACTCTGACAAATTAAGAATAGATTTGATTGCGTAGATGTTCTGTGTAGTTAGATATTATGCTAAAATAAGATAAAAGGCGCTTAACGACTGATTCTAAGTTTAATAATGTTTTGCAAAAATGCTCAGTGGACAAGTTGGTCGAGCCTAAACTAATATTTTGCTAATTCAACCACTCAAATAAAAGACCCACTGGTGCGACAAAGAAAGACTGAAGAAAGACGTCAGCAAATTGATCACTGATTAGAACAGTGTTCTTAGAAAGAGCCAGAGCCAAACATTATATACCTCTTTGGAAGAATATTGATACTCTCCCCTCCGTAACACGTCCATCTCCAATTTCATCATATTTTCTTTTTGTGATCGAGCCCGTTGCTTCATCTTGGATTTGCGCCTACAAGAAGAAAACTGAATATTCTTGCGGAAGAGGCTTGAATTGACAAAGAAAACATACCACTTGAAAGGATTTTATAACGGAAGTCAAAACTCAAAAGTAATTCTCCAAGTTGTAAACTTCAATCAATCTTACAAAGTAGTCATAATGTTAAAAAATTTTATGAGAAGAGAACTCGTTTTAACACTATGTCAAGAATGTTGAGCATTAGTAAATGCATGTCTAATACGCTTTTGCTCATTTAAACTTAACTAGCCATAACAACAGAAGCAATATCTTAACATTGTTAAGAAGGTAACTTGTTTACTTTTTGAAATTTTTTGACTATCTACTTACTTCCTTTCCCGTTGTTGCATTGAATCATCATTTTCCTCCTGGTAAGAAACAGGCAGACCAGAAAGATCACAAGCCAATGGGCTCATACTAAAGAACTGCAGGTAAAAAACCAACCATTACAACATTAGTAAAAGATGAGCCCTATAGAAGTTGTTGGGAAATATACCCAAAAATAAAAGGTATTATGTGTAAAAATGCTTCTATCTAATCATAGTATAATTAGTGATGTGGATGCTAGGGCGTTGTGTAATCAACATCGGAAGCTATATGATTGTAGTTTACTTGCTTTACTATGGATAANATATCATAACTAGCATCAAAGCGAGCTATGCTTCTCCAAAAACACTAATCCTATTTACAGGGAAAACACTCCCCACCCCAACAAAAAAACCCAAAAGATAAAAAAGGAAAGAAAGAAAGAATGACAGAAAACCCAAAAACTGCCCCCTCAACTGCACCCTCCTTATTTACCCACATAGAAAAAATTTGTAATTGTAGTTTATTTGTTCGCCTATAAATAAAAGTCAGCTAACACTTTCTATGGCAATGTCAATATCATGTCCCCTATTCACAAAAATGATTATAACTATTTTGATAAGACTTACATGTTGGCTTGATGGAGCCGGGAATGTCTATTCTTCTTGGTCGCTGCTGCCTCACACGCCTAAACAAAATGGGGTTTCATATAGGATGTATAGTCATGTTCTTAAAACATTTTTACGCATTCATTATAACCTGTATTCTTAAGTAAGTCCTTCAACATATCACTACAATGAATAGTTTGCTCCTCTATTAAATATTCATTTTCCTTGACCCTGTATGAAAGTTGCCAATATGAACATCTATATTCTTCATCCTCTACTTGAATTCATCTTAGATAATTTCATCGAAATATGTATATTGTTTCCAGAGATTGCAGGCCTTTTATTGTTGTCTTTCGGGGATACAATCTCAAAATGGAGTGCGACATGTCTTTTCTACCTGGCCGTCATCTATATACCTCTCTAGACGTCTGACTTCTTCCACAGTTATTCTCACTTTTGAGCTTCACCTTTTTGACCGACAGAATCGTAGTTCTTCTAGTTAGTACATTTAGCACGCCAAGTTTCCTTCGACTCCTTAAATTTGCATACAGGTGCTCTCTTGCCAAGCCATTCACAATGAAACTAGAGGTTTTGACTGACTTTTGTCCTCTGTTTTTTCCACAGCCCATTGAGGTGAAACCATCGTTGCGTGAAACCCCGTTCGTTGTGGTTCACAGGACCGGAACAGAAGTACTGTACACCACTCATTAGAAACCAGGTACAAGAGGTTGGCTTATATGGTATGCTAGGAAACGTGGATGTTTTAGGTTCGGTTCTTAAATGTAGGAATCAAAGGTTGTGCAAGAGTCAAATTTAATAAATATGCTAGTTTATATCAATAATGGTAAAAGAACTTTATGTTCTTAGTTTCTCATGTTTTTTGCTGTTAATTCTTTTGAAAAAGAGTTATTTTCTTCAAAATTTTAACTAGTTTGAATTCTAAATCGGGTCGATGGATTTGGTGAATTGGGTCGTGTTCCACTGAGAATCCAGGACAACTGACTCGGGTCGCAGTTCGCTACAGCGCCCCACGTTCCCAACATCTATGCGAGGAACGAAATAGAACTTGATTCAAACTGGTTAAACATAAGCTAATATGTAGCAGAAGATGCAAAAATCAACGGGCTCCAAGTTATTTGTGTTACTCAAAAAGCAACTTGAAGTCAGGCCACGATGAGATTTTACCTCATTTTGTAAAGCGGAAGCTGCAGTACCACGATGTGCAGGGTCTAGTGCAAGAAGTGTGCTAAGCAAACCCAAGGAGGAAGCAGGAAGATCTCGAAAAGATTCAAAAATGCTTGGTTTGTAAAGATGTGGAGGCCGAAAGTTTGTCGATAGCTTCAATTTTCTCCAGTAGTCCTCTGGCGGGGATCCACACAGCTTAAATATTTTATGTAGTTGTTCGACCTGGACGTCAGAATAATATAGAATTGACAGTAAGCAAGATGTTAAACCACCATATTTGACATATTCAAGTATTGATTTGATAACTTCATCACAATTAAAGTATTGGAATGTCCAAATATAGAGAAGAAAATTTTGTTACACCTCAGTCCTGCCAGGCATAATTGGTCGCCCAACAAACATTTCAGCCAAGAGGCACCCTGCACTCCAAAGATCAATTCCAACTCCATAATCTGTGGTACCTAGTAAAAGTTCAGGTGCCCTGTACCAGAGGGTCACAACTCTACTTGTTAGAGGTCGCTTTTTATCAGGATCAAAATAATTGGCGAGGCCAAAATCGCCTATTTTCAACATTCCGTGTCTATCTATCAATAGATTGGACCCCTTAATGTCTCGATGTAAGACTCCCCTCTCATGACAGTGCTGTAGTCCAGACAGTAATTGATGCATATAACATTTTACCTGCAAAATGTTAAATATGCTTGTGAGCATGTAGTGAGTGAGAAATACTCCCTCAGAATTCAAATTTTACCATCGCATAACAGGAATAAACCTCATAAATAATAAATCTGGCCAACAAAAGGGAGACTATGATCTCGTCAGAAAATCAAGATTCTGATCAAACCTTATGGTCAAAAGTTTTAGAATGTAATGAGAACCTGGGGTTCAGTGAGCCTCCGATCAGGGAGAGAGAAAATTCTTGCCAAATCAGATTGCATAAACTCAAAGACCAAGTATAGACTATACTGCATTCTTGATGTGGCAAGCCCTTCAAGCTTCAGGATATTGGGATGATCCAGCTTCTGCAGGATCCTAATTTCTCTGGCCATAAACCTGACACTCTCAGATTCTGATGTGTCAAATCTAACCTTCTTCAGAGCAACCAGCTTTCCAGTCTCCTTGTCACGGGCTTTGTACACATTGCTATAAGTACCCTGGCCTACCTGCGGCAGGATGGGCGCAATCTTTAGTTTCAGATTGGATTAAAACTGTATGAATACAATTCTTATAGTTTGCTGCAGCTGCTGCAAGAAATGAATGAAAACCAACCTACATCCTATAAAAGGCATACACATGTAGTGATGTGGCTATACTCATGGAAAAACAATTGAGTTGAACAAGATATAGTTGGAAAAAAATAATATTGTGTGTGCGCGCGCGCGTGCGTGCGTGCGTGTGCCTGTGGGTTCGCGCGTGTGTGTGTCTGTATGTATGTATGTATGTAAAGATGTAAAAGGAACTCTGAATCTGCTTTGAAGAGTTTGAAACAGTGCAGCTTGCGAATAACACAGTGCTCATTGAGGAGGAAGAAGGAGAGGCAGACAAAATAAAGCTGACGCAAGGCTGAATTGAAAAAACCAGTCATTTATAACTAAAGGTAGATTTTAGATCAAACAACACAGAAATTTTACAGGACTAAACACCAGGTCAACATTACATGAACATGAACAAGGGATACATGTTTGACTACCTAAATGTCCTAAAGCATCTAACATGAGAACTTTTAGACACAGAACAATACGTGTTTGTTTTCCATAATTAGAGGATACATATCACTACTAATTTACCCATCTCAAGGCATTAAACGGTGGTGAGACTAAAATAGAAGTTCTTAATGTTATTCTTTCAATCAAACATCCACGAATGTACTGTATCCATTTAAACATAAAACAATTCTTACAATCTATCATCATCTTAAACACTGATAATTAAAAAAATTAAACTAAACTTCCAAATTCATCAAAATTCCATATAAATGTTTTCATCGGGAAAAATCAAAACTTTTCAATACCTTGCCGATCATCTCATAAGAATCAGCACTCTTGGGCACCAGCCCATCAAGAACCCCTCTCGGCACGTTATTTACGAGCCATCTCGGCCACCCATCCACCAAATCATCCTCCATCTTCCTCTCCGCTCGCCTGCCGCCGCCGGCGACTCCTCCTCCTCCTCCGCCGCACGCCGCGCGCCCTAATATCCGCCTCGCCGTCTGCCGACGTAATCGTTCTCTGCCTTCAGCCGCTCGATTCCACGGCGATCGGGCGAGGTCGGCGAGGGTTTGGCCTGCACGCAGCCCATGGCGAGGGAGGAACCGAGAAGGCTAGGGTTTGGGACTGGGGATGGAGAAATTAGGGTTTTTTGGATGTATTTAGGGGGGAGGTTTGGATTCATCGTCATCGGATGGGGATTTTTGGGTTTTTTTTTTCCCCCTTCTTTTTTCCCGTGATAGTGAACTTCGTTCTCTGGGCGGAGTCGGAGATGGGAGATGGCGCTGCCGCGTTTTTAAAAGTATTTTCTTGAACTGGACGGTTTTTGGAGAAAGAACCTGAAAGTTTCATGTAATTGCAGTATGAGTCCGCATCAGATTTCTTACATCGCTCCTATGCACTTTAATATTTCAATGGTAAGTCCTTTTTACATTTTTAATGTAGACATTCAGGCCCTCAAATTCTTCTAAACTATTTTGACCAAAAAATAAGAGATTTGCTACGGGGACCCAAAATATGGGACTAACAAGGAGGACATGTGATGTGTCCCCCTCCTATTGCATAATGAGTTGGTTATCATTTGATGACCAACTCATTATGCAATAGAAGATGACACCTCACTTGTCCCCACTGTTGGTCTTATATTTTGGATCCTTAGGGAAATTTTTAAAAAATAAACTCCCCCATAAACCTCATTTCTCGATAGAATAACAAGTTGGATTTAGTAGCAAAGAATAGATTTGGATTGGATTTTACGGGTGGGTGATGCCTTTTGGATACTACGAAGAATAAATTGGTTTTGAATATCATGTGGACAGCACAAACACAGAAATAGATAATTCATAAAATTTAGAAAAAAAATTAACATAAAAAATTAAAGCATAAATAATATGGAAATATACAAAAACGGGAACATAAAGCATGCCATTCAGGATGACATGTTTTGCAACTCAAATTAAAAATTGATCTCATAGAGCGAAAAAGAAAAAAAAAAGCATTCTGAGTCCCGATCCTAGTTTTGCCAAAAATTAAATCAACTCTTGAACTAATTTTGTCGAACCAATCAATAGTCTTAAAATGATTTTTTTTTTCCTTCTTGTTTTTCATTCATCTCTTTGCCCGGGACTAATCTATTTTGAAAGTAAAACTGGTTTTATGGGGAGTTACCAAATAAACCTGTAGTATAATTGTCATATTGTGTTTTGCATTCGTTTAGTATGCTAATGCATCACTATATAGGTTTTATAGATGAAGTAAATGAGCAGTAAACGATTTCGAAACCAAATTATATTAGGCTCTATTCTTTAAAAATATACGACGAAAATCTTCATTTCTTGCAATTTTTTTAACTTTATTACGTCCAAAATAGGTACACGTCGATGAATGGGGAGAAAAATAACAGTAATACCATAATATTAACAATAGTCCCAAAAGTAAATTACATAATTTTCTTCCACTCCCCTCCCCTAAATTCTCCTTCAACACGACGATATGAACTTTGCAATGTCTAATCAAGCTTGAGTTGAATTTAACACCAATATTAGTCTTAACGTAATCAGTGCTCACACTATTTGCGTCACATTTTCCATGTCTCGTTCCACTTTACATTGGACTTTTTCTCGCTTGAAACATTGCGTAAGTTAATGCTATTGTTGAAAAGAACTTCGTTGATTGAGTGTGATTCATTGTTACATGAGTTAGTGCCTCTTTTATATAATTTCATACATATCTTAGTCCATTATGTCATGTAATCACTGATACATGTAAGACAATACTCAAACATGGACGCCTAAATATCTCTCGTTGTTGGTATCTCTAAAGCAAGTTAGACCAATCAGTACATAACATGAAAATAGGAGGGAGAAAACCAAACCCAACTTGTTTCTCCCAATTTGACTTTAGAAAACCTACCATGTTATATTTTCACAATGTTACGGCATAACATTGAAATCCTATGCTTTTTCCCTTGCTATGCTCCTTTGATTATTGCATATGATTTTGCGTGTACCGTAGATAGCTATATATACGAGAAATATGGAGAACTTTGGTCCTAAGTTATTTCATTAAACTTGGTAGTGATGTGACCAGATTTGACCCATACATCAAACCTCGAAGATGAAGTCTTTTTTTTTTTTTGAGTAGATGAATAGTGATTGAGGCTCTCTCTTCAAGGCATGATGTACGAGCCAGATCTTGTCACCTCACTATCAAGTTCAATGGAGAAACCTGATACTATGGTTCTCCATATTTCTCATATATATATGAGTATGAGAAATATGAAGAACCTTGATACCAACTTATTTCATTGAACTTGGTAGTGAGGTGGTCAGATCTGACCCATACATTAAGTCTCGAAGATGAAGTCTCTTTTTTTGAGTAGATAAATAGTGATTGAAGCTCTCTCTTCAAGGCGTGATGTAGGGGTCAGATCTTGCCACCTCACTACCAAGTTCAATAGAGAAACTTAATACCAATGTTCTTCATCTCTCTCTCTCTCTCTCTGTGTGTGTGTGTGTGTGTATATATATATATATATATATATATATATAAACCTGAAATAAATCACTTTGACCAAAACCAGGAAACCTAGTCTGACTAGGAAAAATAACCTTCGGTATTTTGGCTGTAACTTTCTCATCCAACCTCGGAATGAGGTGATCTAAGAATTTTTTGAAAACTGTTGAAGAGGTAGAGTCACCAAACAAGAAGTCAGTCTTCCTGAGAGACTGAACGGAGCTGGCATCCTTCACAAGAGGTGCATCTGTGATCAGCTGGCGAAGGGCTCGATGTCCACCTTCCTTCACTACTTCGACAACCTCTATCGACGTGCCCGGAACAAACTGGGAGGTAAGCGGAATGGGCGAAAAGTCATCAGACGTCGAATAATATTCATCGCGACGTCCATTCACCGCATGCGATGAAAAGGCTCCGGAAGGATACTCCACTGGAAACAAGCAATTAAATGTTTGTTAGTTTCAGATATGAAAGGAAATTGAATTCATCTTACAAATTAGTAAGATAGAGTCATTCCCTTATAAAGGGCGAGACGATTTGGCCACATTGCGCATTTATAAGATAGGGTAACCAATTATATCCATATTTCTCTCTCTCTCTCTATATATATATATATATATATATATGTTTTTTTGGTAGTTTTATATATGGGATGAATCGAAATTGTGACTATCCATTGCGAGCATATAAAAAAAGATTCCGGATCCTACGTTTTTCATGTTGGCTCCTTTGTTCATCGGGCCGTAGATAAGAAGGTGAGAAAAGTAAATGCATATGCTTATCATGTCCCTATTTAGATGTACGAGAAGCCATTAAAAAAAAGAGAGGGATGTACTAGAAGTCCAAGTGGTTTATTTAATTTTTCATGAAGAAAATTCAAAACCCAATCAGTTTAATGTATATATTGTGCTAATATTGAAACAATATTTCAACAAAATAAATAATTAACTTCAAATTTAATTAAAAAATGAGCATATATGTAATTTAGGTAACAAGGAACCATAAATAAATGTAGTTGAATAAGAATAACCACATCACATCCTGTAATGGTGTTCTCAATCACCAAAAGTGCAGCCCTTCACCAGCAACAATACAAGTGTACTTCTGCCCGCAACGCCCCAACCAGATTAGCAGTTAAGATCAGCAAGGATCTCCCCTCAGCTGACTCGCAGAGTCGACATCTCCTTAGGACAACTCGAAAGGCGGAACTTGTCGACCCCACCCTTTTGTCGAAGACGACTCGCCACGAGTTCACTCGACCATTTGCTAAACGTCTTACGAAGCCGACTCGAAATGCGTTACTTCTTGGCGAAGCTAAAGGACAACCTCTTGCTCGAGCTTATCCTCTCTGACAACGTGTCAAGATCGCATCAATGCTTGTCACGCAACATCATGCCTCTGCCCCGACAGTCTTCATGACTTATTAGGTCATGCTATGCTTTGTGCGCCACACACCACATCATGTCAGCGCCGATCACACAGCTAGTCGCCAGCCGACACCTGTAAAGCAAGAGTTGACGTAACCACGAGCACACGCTTCTTCACCGCCATCTTGTGCTTGGCCAGAATGGTGGTTCTACCCCTCATACCCACAAGTATAAATAGGAGTACTATTCTAACTTAGAGGAGGATGAGATCTCTGGATTCAAACCCTCAACTCAGATCTGGTTTTAGTCCAACATCAGACTCTGGGGATTCTCCATGAATTCTTTTGCATCTTACTGTACACAAGAACTCTCACAGTTCTTCTCACCCCACTCAAGGTCACCAGCTGACTTGATCGTCGGATGTACCACGGGGGATCCAAGCCTCGTCCTCTCACGAGTCTTTCCCTGTGCAGGCTGAGCAACTCCCCCAACTCTGAGCCGGACAGCCGGGGAAGAAATCAGTTCCCGACCCCATCCATCATCATCATCTCGTCCCACCGCGGATGCTATTTGACTGTTTGAACTCCAGTAGCATCAACAGTTTGGTACCCACCGTGGGACCCTTTTTCTATTTCGAGAGAACATGACTGGTTCTGAAGATAAGGCCGAGCAGTCTCACCTTGGAGGACCCCATCAGAGCTACGCTACTCGAGCCCAACTTGAGACAATAGCTCAAAATATTTTTCAATCCTTCCAAGAGAAATTTGATGTCTTTACCAGCGAGCTTCTCAGCTTGCTTTCACAGCCGCATCGGGCAATTTTTATTATTCCCCCACCTTCTGGAGCACAACAAACAATCCCAACTCGAACTCCTCATGCTACTACCGATCAGCAAAAGGATCGCGTTGAACATGCGACCCAGCCACCTCATCGGTCGACTCGTCGACGTCTCCTCCATCATCAGGAACTCACTGGTGAGAGTCCTGACACAGGCAACCTTGGGCATCGCACTAGGGGAACGATCTCTAAAACTCTCCCCCACCATCGTGCCTCTCCAACCCCCTCGGCTACCAAAGGGGCCTCTGGATACCGTCGAGTGTGCAGACCGTCGTAGGCGTCATCGGGGGTAACACCCCTCTTTCAAACGACCTTATCAAGCTCCATGTGAGAAGTTCAAGATGCCTCACATGGAGAAATACAAGGGCGAGGGAGACCCCTCCGAGCATGTTCAGAACTACTATGATGTGATGAGCATGCTCCAAGCATCAGAAGAAGTCATCTGTCAATGCTTCCCCATCACACTTTCGGGGAGTGCCAAGCTGTGGTGGAACACTCTTGAAAGAAGTCAATTGATAGCTTCCAACAGCTCAGCCGGAAGTTCATCCATCACTTCCTGACCGACACCAAGCAGAAGTTACCCCTTCATGTGTTGATCCAAATGAGGCAGGGGGCCAGAGAGAGCCTTCGAACCTACTTCAAGAGGTTCCAGGCAAGAAGGCTAGAGGTTAATGACCCAGGGAGTGCAGTTGCTATGTTAGCACTCGTGGTCGGCCTACAGAACAATGAGTTGGCCGACTCGCTTGCCAAGAAGCCAATCGCCAATTATGAGCAGTTGTTGGCCAAAGCTCATGGGTGCATGGACATTGATGATACCTGAGCCTACAAGGTGGCAGCCAAGGCCACAGAGACCTCCACAACCACAACTTCAGCGCTAGCTCTGGTGCCAACCCTTGGTGCCTTCTTAGGGTAAACCCAAGGCACTCTTGCCCTTTGGTCGGTTGACTCTCACATTTACCACTCGACCACCACAGTAGGGCCTATAAGCCCTTGGTGCCTTTTCAAGAATAAATCCAAGGCACTCACCATATGGTCAACTCGCACATTTACCACTCGACCACTATGACAGGGCGAAAGACTCAGGCCTAACGTAAGTCCCGAGCACCTAACCTCAGGGTCGTCATTTACCATCTGGCCATCAGGGCGGCCCTCCTTTGGGCAAAAGACCTAGTCAACTTCAGCAAGTCCTAGGCACATCCCCAGGGTTGTAAAAGACCTAGGCAACTTTAGTAAGTTCTAGACATTCGACTTTGGTTGAATTCTAAGCCCTTGGTGTCTTTTCAGGAATAAACCCAAGACACTAACCATATGGTCGACTCCCACAATCACCAATCGACCATCATGGGGATACCAAAGAACCAGGCGTCTACGTAAGTTCTGGGCACCTAACCTCCGGGTTGTCATTCTGTCAAAAAACCCTTGGTATCATCATGAGTAAACCCAAGGTATGGAGTTCAGTTGTTCGTTCGTCTTCGATAAAAAAGACTTAGGCACTTCAACTTACCAATCTTCATAGACAAAAGACCCGGACAGCCCGCCCACAAGAGGCGCGATATGAGCTAGTCGTCTCGTCCCCTCAACATTTAGGTCAACACAACACGACCGACTCACAACAATTACAACTTGGTTCTTCTAATTAGAACAATGCTAAAAGCAACCAGCAACCCCAACTTCAGCAGCCGCGGCTGTTGAGTCCTCCCCCTCTGCTCAAAGGGGGGAAGAATCGTCAATAACGACGACCTCATCCTACCGAACAGCTGAGACGACCGATTGCTGCTCTTCGGACTTGTCGACCTGGACTAGCCCAGTCGACCTGCTGGGAATGCACACCCACGTCCATCCAGAGCTTCATTCATTTCACTCGGACCTAGCTCAAGCCGACTCCAAGCGAAAGTGGCCAAATGTTATGGTGTTCTCAATCACCAAAAGTGCAGCTCTTCACCAGCAACAATACAAGTGTACTTCTGCCTGCAACGCCCCAACCAGATTGGTGGTTAAGATTAGCAAGGATCTCCCCTCAGCTGACTCGTCGAGTCGACATCCCCTTAAGACGACTCGAAAGGCGGAACTTGTCGACCCCATCCCCTTTGTCGAAGATGACTCGCCACGAGTCCACTCGACCATTTGCCAAATGTCTTATGAAGCCGACTCGAAAGGCGTTACTTCTTGGCGAATCTAAAGGGAAACCTCTTCCTCGAGCTTATCCTCTCTAACAACGTATCAAGATCGCATCAATGCTTGTCAGGCATCATCATGACTCTGTCCCGACAGTCTTCATGACTTATTGGGCCATGCTATGCTTCGTGCGTCACACATCACATCATGTCAGTGCCGATCACGCAGCTAGTCGCCAGCTGACACCTGTAAAGCAAGTGTTGACGCAACCGCCAGCACACTCTTCTTCACCGCCATCTTGTGCTCGGCCAGAATGACGGTTCTACCCCTCATACCCACATGTATAAATAGATGTACTATTCTAACTTAGAGGAGGATGGGATCTCTGGATTCCAACCCTCAACTCAGATCTGATTTCAGTCCAACATCAGACTCTGGGGATTCTCCACGAATTCCTTTGCATCTTACTGTATACAAGAACTCTCACAGTTCTTCTCATCCCACTTAAGGTCACCAGCTGACTTGATCGTCGGAGGTACCACGGGGGATCCAAGCATCGTCCTCTCACGAGTCTTTCCCCGTGCAAGCTGAGCAGCTCCCCCAACTCCGAGCCAGACATTCGGGGAAGGGAACGACCCCATCCATCATCATCATCTCGTCCCACCGCGGATGCTATTTGACTGTTTGAACTCCAGCAGCATCAACACATCCTACATAAAAAAAATTTCACTTCCCGTTATGAGTTTAGTAGCCCTCTCACCGCATGCAGAGTGTTCTGATAGAATATGAAGCGGACAATTATATATCAATACTTGTAATAGAAGATTTTTCTTATCTAATTAGACATGTAAATCGAGTAAGCAACTTACCAAAAGGTTAATTGCAATTTTATCTAACTCCGTATATAGCTTCTTTAGGGCTTGTTTGGATTGAGAGGAATAAGGGTGAAGGGAAGTTAGCGGAACCATTCATCTTGTTTGGGAACATTTAGGAGGTGAAGTTATTCACCCTAGTTCTCCTTTGTTCACCCCATAATAGTATAAAATTTGTTACCCCCAAATTGGGGTGTAACCAAGGAGAAGGGAACTCTTTTCCCTTCCCTTTCATTCTCTCACCTAGTTTCCCTTAACTTCCCTTAACCCCATTGAAATCCAAACACACCCTTAAACAACATCGTAATTGTTAATGGGTATAGATAATCTGTACCACGTAGAGATTTATATAACATAAAATTTACAGCTCTTTCTAAACTTTTAAGTTTCCAAATAAAAATAGATTTTAAATATTCCAAATAAAAAAAATTTTGAAAAGGAAACTCGAGATTTAGAAAGTAACTTCACAAGTAAAATGACTAAAATCCTAGAAATTGACAAAAAAGCAAACGGAGTAGAGAGGGGGAGGCAACATGTGTCCTGGTGAGATGCACCAAGTGTATGCATCCCAAGAGAAACCCCCCCGTCCGCAAGCATCCACGCCCTTTGGTTCCTCTACTTATGATGAGGACGCACCTCTTCCCCTATTTATTTATGCCCTAAAATCATAAAATAAATTGGACCCAAAAAAAAGAAAAAGAAAAAAGAAAAACCAATCAACTGGGGGAGGAGAATCCAAGCTCTCATTTGCAATTAGCATAAGAGAAAATTCCTCCAAATTCCCCTTTCCTCTCTCTTTCTCGCCTCTTATCATAAATCCAATCGTCTTCTCC